GAACTGTTGGGTCTCTGTAAATAATGTTATAAGGAGTTCGGTCTAGACCTGCTCTATTTGAAAAGTGTTTTGAAATAACTTCTGTTTGAATTGGCGCTATACAAATAAAGTTGAATTGAATTGAACATTCATTCAATTCAACGTTCACCAGGGACTCCAGTGGGGTCTGATATTTTCCTCCAGCTTTCTTCCTTTTTCATCTTGTGTGTTTATACATTTTAGTGTCAAATTGTCTTGGAATAAGTGTAATTTGGTTTTGCTGAAGTTAAAACATTTTCATGTGATTTTCACCACCTAGTATTAGTGTCTTTTGGGCCCACTTGCGGCTTTGTATTGACTTTAAAATTGGCTTTGCGTTCAGTCTGAACACAGGTGTCCAAGTCTTTCTCTTTTCCTTTCCCAGGGTTTGGGGTTAAAGTTGACAGCGGTCAGTGCCTACTAGGGGTTCAGATTTTGTACTGAAGGTGCTGATACGAGCGGGGGTTTGGTAGGATAAGGTTTAAGGTTTGGTTAAGTTGGCTTAAAGCTAATGTAAACTGCATGGTGCTGCCCTGGTCGCTGTGCTGACCTAATGAATGCATGGCTCAAACTGATGATACCTCTTCCTCTCTATCCTGCTCTTCCTCCTCCTCCCCTTCCTCCCTCTACATCAGAGGGCAGTGGATGGAAGGGCTCTTATTCTTTACATTTTAATAATAGCCCTGTTGTTAAACTTCTATTTTGCACGATATTTCATAAAACACATTATGTGCCTTGCCTTTAGTTAAAGAACAGTAATACATTACGGAAAGTGATCATACTTTTGATACTTTTCATGGTACAGCTGGAAGCTTAAAAAAAACTACAAAAAAAGCTGCATGTGTGATTGCCTGACATTAAGCAGTGTAGCAGGTAAACAGTTTTATGTTAAACAGTGGCAGTGTATGAACTGCCAGCTCAGATGCTAACTTGAGTTTAAGCTCAATGAAAGCTTTCATTAGTTTCAGCAGACACTGGGTCAGTGCTTATTCTCTACTTCCATTCAACTAAAGGCACAGCAAATCTTTACAGTGTGAAAGAAGCAGTCTGACATTTTGGGAAAAACACTAGTTTGCTGTCATACTCAGAGTCACACAAAAAGGATGATACCTCTTTTATCCCACAGGACACATGGTGCAGAAAATGTTTTTGTGCCAAGCTCAGCTAAACACATCCTAGCATTTGCCCCTGTTATTGTAAAGGTGCTGTAAGAATTGTTTATTTTCTGTTAAAATAAGTGTACAATAGCTCCACACTAACATGGGTCCCTCCTTTAGCCAACTCTTCACTTACAGCACCTTTAACTCAAGGTGCATTTACTACCTTTTTTCTGTTGCTTTCAACCACACCACACAGGTTCCATCAGTTGATTGGGTTGGCTCAGGTGTCATCCTGTGACATAAGTATAGAACTTAGGTCAAATGATAACAAGTTGTTATATCAAAGAGTGTTCTGAGATACCTTCTGTTATGATTTGGTGCTATACAAATAGAATTTAATTTAATTGAATATAGGGGAGATAAAACCCATTCCCTGCTTTAGGACATTGAGATAAGATTATAATATAATTTGTCAAACTAATTTCCAAGTTCATGCGTGATCTGTACACATAAATATATTGTCATCCTATTTTGGTCAAACTAGAAAAGAACTGTAGTTCCCAAAATAGTGGACGGTTCCTTTAGGTGTTTTAGAGACATCATTTGCCACAAGTGGGTGTTGGTTGCAATCATAGAGCTGGTCTGGTTCTGAAGCTCTGCTGTTTAAGGCTAAAGTGTTGGCTTATATATGCGTGTGGACTGAGGCAAATTAACATTGACAGTGTTGTTGTGTGTGAGACATCACCAACACACTGTTAAATTCTAGATATGTGTTGTCCCAAAATGTGTACACCTGTGTGTTGTAAAGCAAACACTGTTTTAGGGGTGTAGGTATAGTATGGCTACCTATCTGAAACTGCCACTTTGCAAAAGCAAATACATTTGTTCTGAAGGTAAAGTCTGGTACTAAGTCCTACCTAAATGTTCACAATATAATGCTCACAATACTGCTCAGTGTATATCCTGTTATAATATCAAGTATTAAATACATGCAAACACATCTGATAGTATTTATTGCAAGGAAAAGTATTGTGGATTTTTTGTCAGGCATTTAGTCAACATGGCCAAGCCACAGCCCATCTAATGGAAGCATGTTCAGGTTTGGGCTTCAAGGCTGAGCAGCTCTATGACTGGCTATTACAACACCGTCCATTTGCCTGTATGATGACTTTACCCACGTGACTACATAGTACAAAAGGCCATAGATGAGTTTGAGTTTCATATGGATGCATGCACTTAACACTATTCTTACTCAACTGGGCTTTTAGGTGTTTTATTTTATTTTTTTGTTATTTCTTGAGTTGTTGTTATTGCTTGTTGCTTGTAGAATATGTTTTAAACACAGCAGTGTGTATAGAAATATGTACAACATGGACTTATCAGTTAAAAACAAGGGATGTATAAAATGTTTAAATTGGTTGTATTTGTGCATTTTAGTTTGGCTGTCTCAAGATGGCGGCCAGACTGCAGCGGGACCCATGATATGGGAAGTATTGTAGGTGGGCTGGTAGCTAAGTTCAGCCAGAAGGATGATGATGGGTGAAAATGGTAATGGGAGAAGTTGCAAAGAGTGCATACCGCCACTAAGGCTGCACAATCCTTTTAAATGTGTTATTTTAATAACAGACAGTGTTTATAAAAATATCAATCAGTACACAGTGATAGACACTAGTGTCATGCCGATTGTTGCTTGGCAGCAAAAAATTTTAAATATCTAAATAATGTCCTGAAATATTGGCGGTTTGTACGAGGTGAATTGTGCAAAATTACACACTGTTACAAATGTTTGTATTTGCATATTAGGTGTGGATAGATTAGGAGATTAAGTTTCTTGTCACTTAGGCCATACCTAAAAGAATTTGTGTGTCATGTGGCATATCAAAAGCTAATAAATATCCCACCCAAATATCTCATGGCACATTTGGTATGAATAGAATGAAGTAGGGTCAGACCTTGTCTTAATTGTTAATTAGATCTGATCTGAAATGTGGTGGACCTTAACAGACCTAAACAGAGATGGCAGCAGCTTGCTGCTTCACCAATTAAACGAAAGATTAATACATGGTCTTCCGTAATGTGAGACCCAGACCAGAGATCTGCAGCAATACAACAGAACACTACCAGACCTGGCTGACTCAGGACCTGGTCAGGTCTTGGATATTAAGAACTCAGTGAAAGATGAAGAGCTTTGTTAGGAGTTAGGAGTTCTGTTAGAAATCATAACCCAAAGTGAAAAGTTTCCACAGAAAATGGACTGAAATCTTTTCAGTGTTGCAGGATCAAAAACAGAAGTTGGAGGTTATAATTGTGAGCTTTATGTCCACTGCAGACTAACAGCAGCTTGGGGTGAAGCTGACAGTAGTGCTGATTGTGATTGTTAACCTTAAAAGTACTTGGCTAGATTCAAGTATATCAGGCCAAGTTGTTGTTAAAATGTCATGTTTACACTCTCTCCTTCAGTCAAAGATATCTTGGCTGTAATAATGTGTTAAATAATATGATGGTGATGGTGAGACTGTGCAACCAGCAACAGCAGCATGAAGCTGGACTGTGGTACTCACATTGCTGCCCCTTAAAACTACAATCAGGAGAATAAAGGAATCAGATTCACTAGATTTAGGTTAAAGTAAGGCTGGACATAACTAACATCTCTCCAGTTGAAATTTAAAGTAGTAGACACAATAAAACCAAAACCATCATGCACAACCCAATACAATAGCAAAAACTACAACCAAAAATGTGCATATGTTTAAATCACCTGTGTAATGCAGCTCAAAAAAGAATACTGTAAGATGTGAAAGTTATATTGTTTGGCTGACGTAGTGGATTACAGAATCTGAAGTGGCTTTGTGGTTGTTGTGTCTCCTCCAGCTGATGACCAAGATTACTGTGCACATTGTACTAATCGTATTACTGCTTTTTTGTGATGTATGCACTATTTAAAGCTGCAGTAGATGCACTTTTATATAAATGTATGAGAAAGATAAGTGCTTGTTGAGTCTCATTTCCAGGTCCCAAAGTGTCTGTATTTAAGGACTTGGGGATGAGTTTCTTTTGGCTCTGATTGGTTGCTGCTTATATGATTAGGAGCACTAGGAGGAGCTAGAGGATTCACAGATTATCTGTCTTATGTACTACTGTCTGGATATAGTGAACACTTCAGCAAATATGACAAAAAGTTATTTTTATAAAGGTTACAAACTGCAGCTTTAAAGGCAGGTTCCTAAAAGCAGTGTATTTTCAGAGGATGGTCCTGGTTTGATTCTGTGTCGAAGCTGGTTATGTAGTGTGAATCCTTTTTAATTCTATCACTCTATCTTTTCTCTATAACTGACAACAAAACACACACAAAAAGAGAGCCAAATAGATTCCATTACATTATACCAGCCAGCTAAGTGGAATCCACTGTGTTCTGAAAATTTGTGTTTCAGCTTGTCGGCTCATCCCATTCTACTTAATGTACTAACTGAAGACATTTGATTATTATAACAAGAAATACAGTATGTCCAGGCCTCTATATCAAACAAGGTTAAAGACCATGCCTCTAACTGTTGCAATTAAAGTGCAGATCTTTCCAATTCTTGTGAGGCGAGAAGTGCAGAAGTCCAATTGAGGATTGTGTTCAGGATATCTGTAGTTTCTCCACCTCAAGTTAAACGCGTTAATGAAGTGAGAATAATGTATTCATCTCAACAGTTCAGCCTTTCATGCAAAGCAGCACCTCGAGTATCAAAACACTGGGATGCAAATGTATCACTTTCTCTGCTCTGTTCAAA